CTAAACCCCTTCAACCCCTAAACCCCCTTTAACCCCCAAACCCCTTTTCACCCCTAAAGCCTCAACCCCCAAACCCCTACTCCCCTTTTCACCCCTAAAGAGTAAACCCCCAAACCCCGCCAAACCTCGGGGCATCTTCTGCCGCAGGCGCCTGCAGCAGAAGGGGCTCCCCGAGCTCCTCGGCAAGCGCTGCTTTCGGGGGGTCGGGGCACTTTAGGGTTTAGGGTTTAGGGTCCGGGGACTTAGTAAGTGGGGAATAAGTAGACTTATAAGTACCCTGAAAGGGGTACTAATTGGGGTTATGATACTTGTAAGTCTATCAAATAACTACTTACTAAGTCCCCCGACCCTCCAAGTACTTTCGGGGGGTTTGGGCTTAGAGTTGCAAGGTTTAGGAGTTAGGGTTTAGGGCTTAGGGTTTAATGTTGTTTAGGGTTTAGGAATCAGGGCTTAAGGTTTAGGGCTTAGGGCTGAGGGTTTAGTGTTTCGGGTTTAGGAATTATGGCTTAAGTTTTAGGGCTTAGGGGGCTGAGGGTGTTTTTTGGCTTCGGGTTTAGGGTTTAGGGCATGGGGCTTTGGGTTAGGGCTTGGGGGTATTCTTGGGTGCGATAAAAGCGTGCTTTAACTGGTGTTTCAATTATATAATGCTTTATGGGATGTTACCTAGACCCTCCATCTACCTTCCATTAGACCCTAAATGCCCATTATTTGGGACCATCTACCCCTATTTGAGGGTACAGGGAGCGTCCTGGTAGATTGGGATCCTACAGTTTGCTAAACCCCTAATGTAGGGGCCTTAACAATTCGAACAGATATTATACTGTAGCTATAATAATAAGGAACCCCCAAAATAGTATAGGTAATTTCCAAGGCCCCTATATCAAACCCTACCCCAAACCCATTGAGATGCTCTGCAGTCGAGGATCAGCATTGGGCCTCGGGTATGGCTTTGGATAGCGTCGTTGCTTTTGAGGGCTCCAACTAAGCCCTAAACCCCAAACCCTAAACCCTAAACTCTAAACCCTAAACCCTCGTCTTGAGGGTTCCAATTAGGGTTTAGGGTTTAGGATTTGCGAAAGCCGGCCGGTGCAAGATCCCCTGCAAATTGCAGGTGCATTCCTCGAAAGCCTTGCACCCTCAAGTGTTCAAAGAAAGCCGTCCTGTTTAGGGTTTAGGGTTTAGGGCCGTCCTGTTTACATGCATGCATACATAGGACTCTAACCTATAGAAAGCTAGCTTAGCTTTGGGGATTCAGAGGTAAGGTTTAGACTAGACCTTGTGAACTCGAATCCTACAAACCCTAGACCTAAATCCTAAACCCTGGAGGCCCTAGACCCTTAACCGCCAAAATGAACCAGATACCCCAAACCAATAAATGGCCGCCAAGGATGGTCTAAGATGCTTGGATCAGAGCACAGCGGGCGGCAAACCCTCTAATTGGTTTGGGCGGTAGTGTGTGGCTTGACGGGAGTGCTCCATAGAAATTCTTGCCGCTGTGCGGCGAGATGCATTCAATACCAAACCCTGCCTAAACCCTACCTGTGACCCGAAACCCTACGAAATAGTGGGTTATGACCCTTTAATTAATTAGACGGTAGAACCCTGGAAACGGCAGGCTTTTGGTTCCCCAGGTAAACCCTAGAGCCTGCACCCCCTAAACTCGCCGTAAACTCTACGCCACTCATCGCACTCAGCCCCCGGCAAAAGGACGTGGCTGTGACGTCTCGAGGCCTCCATCTTGGTGTAGTGGGGCTTAGAATTTAGGGCTTCGGGTTTAGTGCTCAGGCTTTAAGGTTTAGGGTTCAGGATGTAGGACTTCCGGCTTATAGGGCTCGGAGATGAGGGTTTGGGTATCATCTCTTGACCCCTAAGGGGTAGAGGCAAACTAGGCGTACAGGAGAACTTGACGAGAACCCCAAAAGATAACCCTTATACCTATAAACAGCAAAACCCCTACGTCCCTAAACTCTGAGCCCCTGCAGCCATACGCAGAGTTCAAGCCCCAAGAAACGACTCCGACCTTTAAGATTAGAAGGTTGCCCAACTCTTACAGTGCGAAGGCAGCCGAGATGACGTGGGCAGCATGGCGATAGTGCTTGGGCTCAGGTTTTAGGGATTCGGAATCGTTGGGGTTTACGGTTGGGGTTTCGGGGTGGGGCTTCTGCTTTAGCGCATGGGGCTAGGGGTCTGCAAGACCGAGGGTGAACTTCGGGCTGCGGGGCGTGAGCCGAGAGTTTAGGGTCTGATGTTGCGGCGTACTTGGAGGGTCGGGGGACTGGGTAAGTAGTTATTTGATAGACTTATAAGTATCAGAACCTCAACTAGGACCCCTTTTAGGGTACTTATAAGCCTACTTACTACTGTGCCCACTTACTAAGTCCCCGGACCTCCCAAGTAGTGTAGGGGATCAGGGGCTAAGTCGGCTACATGCTACTTGCACCTCCAAACATGGCCTATACCCTAAACCCGAAACCCCAAAACCCCCCAAACCCGAATACCCTCAACCCTAACCCCTAAAACGTCCCCTGATGCTCGAAACCCTGGATGTGGAGCTTAGCCGAAAGCCTCAGCTGTTCGACTGCTCAGCTCTTGCACCGATCCGAGATGGGCTTTATGCATAGTGTTAGACGGTGCTTTTTGAAAAGGGCTGGATGGGGTTTCAAAGGGGGCTATGAGGGTTTCGTAGGGGTCGTGCTGATCAGCAGACTGATCCAAGACTACAAAATCCGGTACAAAATCCGGGCACATGTAAAGAAGACGCTTGTTGATTCTGGAAGTCGCTTCCTCAAAACGACACCCCAATATGTACACATACCGCACCAACATGACCCAAAAAGCCATTCGAAACCCCAGCTTCAGCACAAACAATACAACACACAAGCATGTAGCCCCATGTTGCCCCGAACCCTAAACCCTACATGCAAGCCCAAACCCTCAAGAAAGCCCTAAACCCTGAAACCTAAACCCGAATCGACACCAAAGCAAGCAGCCTGCGAGCTTCGAAGCTCTGCGGCCCTGCAAGCTCAAGTCGATCAAACAAATGCAACTTAGGAGCCTGAATAATCAGAATGGGTTTTAGGGGTTTCCAGGGTATGACCATGGAAAAAAACCTGCGGAATAGTAGTACTAAATACTCAGGCTGCTATAGTATGCTTAGTCTGCTTGTCATTGGTGTTCTTCTGCATGGCACTATGATCATGAGCAGCACAACCATCATCAGCAGCAGCATCAGCGTCTTCGTTGTCATCATCAACAACAAAGACAGCATCATCATCACCACCACCATTCATCCACCATCATCGTCATCAACACCATCAGATTCATCATCATCATCATCATCACCATAGTTCTTATCACTATCATCGTCTTCAGTGTGAACTCATTGTTTGTGATGCTCCAACTGCTAATATGACTCTCATCACTACCATGCCTTTGTTTCTGAACCTTAGCTGACTTAGTACATAGTATCATTCGGGTAGTTTCACAGCCCCCATGTTTTTGATACGGTATGCCTGTTTCTAGTACTACTTACTACTGTGTCCGGTCTCGCTGTTGCGACTATCACCGTGAGGTATAAGTTATAGACAGATCGGGCTAAGTACAGGGCTGATGACTCCAAGTATGCTTGGGGTTCAAGGATGGTCCTTCGGCGCGAAGCTTGCAAATACGCATCGCTACAAGGCTTAGCAATGGTTTTAGTTGTGGTGGCTTCGAACTTCGGTCGAGTTTAGGGTTTCACAGGGTCAGAGTTTGGGGCCTTTGAGCTATACACTTCAGACTCTAGGCGTCCTCGCATGTGCAGGTTGATAGACTAGGCAGGTGTTACACATGGAGGGCTGCCCAATAGTAGAGATCCCTTCTACGGCGCGCGAAGCACGTCACATGGTAACTAAACTTACCTGGAGGTCATATTTCGCCCAACAGCAGGTAAAACTAGACATTCGACAGTCGAAAAGCGGGTGTGAACTTCGTCGTCATGTTCATGCACGGCGGTGCTTCAACTGCAAACAAAGCTCCATGACCAAAGCTCTGACAATCCGACCATGACACATCCTGCCCTTGCGAAAACCCTACGCCCACTCAGCGTGCAATATAGTGAAAGCATTGGCTTGCCTCGCCTGAACCTCAAGAGTAAAGCCTCAACCAAACCTTCTGACATCAAACCCCTCCTCACTACTGCTGCTGCTCCTACTACTACTACTACTACTACTACTACTACTGCTACTAAACCTACTAGTACCACCACCACCCTCGTGGACAAGGAGGTCCTGGTTTCAAGCAGCTTCTCGTGATCTGAGCACAAGACTCACTCTCACCGGAAGATGCTTAATTAACAAAATCTGACCGGCAAAGCGGCACTGGGCATGGCTTCGACAGCCCAGGGAAAACTGCGGATGCTTAAAATCATGCTTTAAGCATGATACTTCGTATTCCGTAGTCTGGCTGTTCTGGTGGTGCAGAAAGCAGACTCCGATTTTCAGGGTGGTCCTATGAAAGCAGGACCGCCACCTCAGCCATGACCGCTCCTGCCTCTTGCCTTGGAGCTCCGCAGCTTCTCCTCGATCTTTGCTGCAATATCGTCCACGGACTTGCCCACGCAGTCGATGTATACCTTAACCCACCAGAACCTACTTTTTTGTAGGGTCCCTATGAATCCCATATTAGGGTTTATCATAAGAACCTACAAAAAGCAGGGTTTGGTAGTTTAAGGTACTTTGTTGTCAGGCATTGCCATCTGAACCAACCCACTTGCAACACCATCTTCGCATGGCGGGCTGGGAGGGTATACGCTATCAACCTTGAGAGGAAGAATGTCGATACCGTGGTCCATGGCGAACTTGAGCTCTGCATACGTGCAGTAGGGACTGGACGTCCTCTCTCCATAGTCGGGTGTGCAAACCGCAAGCATAATGCCCTTCTTCTTTTTCAACTTTCCCAGATACATGGCGGTGAGAGTTCCGAAATCTTCACCACCACCTGCTTCCACCATCAACACCTCGAGCTGTCGTTGCCGCAGCGTATCACACACCTCACGGAATTTCATCTCTGTCTTCTTGTTTTTGTCGTTGAACCGGGCCGAGATCATGGCAATTCGGGGCGCCTCTTCCTCCCGACAGGGTGCCTGCAGGCTGGACGTGGAGGAGAGCGTGCGGGTCCGCTTCTCCACGCTGAGAACAGCCTCGCTGAGGCTTCTCTCCCTATCCCGAGCCAGCTTGAGGCTGCTGTCGGGCACGATAGGCTCCGGTGCCTCCACCCCACACCAGCACCACCAGGATGAACTAACGCTATCCCTGAGCTGCGGCTCGAGCTGATCTGCCTCCAGGACCTCCCGTGAGTCCTGTCGCGGGTCATGCAAAACTGCACTGCCTGAAACCTCAAGGTCTATATCCTGGTCGTCAGGCTCGACACCAAGAACTGTGTGCATGGAGGCTTGCTCTTGCGACTTGGCATCCTGTGTTTGATCCTCTGGCGGAGCAGCACTTCCAAGCAGAATCTTTTCTGTGTCCTGGTCGCCTGGCCTGACTTCCAGAACTTGCATGGAGGTTTCCCCTGCAACTTGGCATCCTGTGCCTGATCCATTCGAGGACTGCGGAGGAGCAGCACCGGGAGCAACACTTTCAAAGAGACTCTTCTGCTGAACCTCAAGGTCGGTCTGTGTATCCTGGTCGCCTGGCTCCCGGACATCCAAAACCTTAGGGCTGGGTGCATCGATGGGCGGTTTAGGGTTTATAGGGTTTAGGGTTTAGGGTTTGGGGTTTATAGGGTTTAGGGTTTAGGGTTTATGGGGTTTAGGGTTTAGGGGGCCGTCGTCAATGGGCGCCTCCCGACCAGGCTTCTTCTTCCACCTCCGCCAGAGGAAGCCCAGCACCGCGACGAGAACAGCAAAGCCCGCCAGAAAGCACAAGAGCGCAAGCCATGGGACCTCTGTGACCTCTGTGTTGGCCATAGGCTCAGCCGCAGCCGCTCGCGGTTGAGTCGAGGTTTGCGTGGGGGACGTCGTCGAGGATATTGTGCGGGTTCGTGTTTGGCTTATTGTTGAAGTTACGGCTGCTGCTTGGCTTGTTCCGGAGATCTCCGTTTTCGACTGGTTGGCCTCTGCAGCTGTCGTCTGGGTCATGGATGCGGTGGTCGTTGCCGTCTGGTTCATGGATACGGATACGGTGGTCGTTGCAGTCTGGGTCATGGATACGGTGGCCGTTGCCGTCTGAGTCATGGATACGGATACGGTGGTCGTTGCCGTCTGAGTCATGGATACCGTGGTCGTTGCCGTCTGGGCCATGGATACGGTGGTCCTTGCCGTCGTCGTTGTGGTGGTTGCGCTCGGTATGCTTGCGAAATCCACGACTGTGAAATTCTCGTGTCCGGAGGCTGAAGCAGACCCATCAACCACACCACTGTCCGTGATACGAACCCACCTTTGCCAACGGTCGCTGTACAGGCCAAACTGGCTGTTTCCAAGTGACCTGACGCTGAAGCGCTGATACACCCACCCGTCAGGCAATGTATCCACCTGTGACCCGTCAACTGCTTCCACCAGTGACTCGTACATCTGCATGTACTTCTGGAAGTGCGCATTGTACAGGCCGATCGTCCCGGATGGCCCTTCCACCACGACAAACCGCATGCCCTCCATGTTCGGCAAGTTTGGCAGGTCTGCAGCGTCGCCCTGAGTGCTCCCGATGCCGGACCCCCCCGTCCTGCGGAGGAAGCGGTTAGTCTGCGAGGCGTGCAATGCAACCACGGCGCCTTTCTGCTTGACGAGTTCCCAGTCCTGCGTCGTTGTGGTGGTTGTGCTCGGTATGCTTGCGAAATCCACGACCGCGAAGTTCTCGTGTCCGGAGGCTGAAGCAGACCCATCAACCACACCACTGTCCGTGATACGAACCCACCTTTGCCAACGGTCGCTGTACAGGCCAAACTGGCTGTTTCCAAGTGACCTGACGCTGAAGCGCTGATACACCCACCCGTCAGGCAATGTATCCACCTGTGACCCGTCAACTGCTTCCACCAGTGACTCGTACATCTGCATGTACTTCTGGAAGTGCGCATTGTACAGGCCGATCGTGCCGGATGGCCCTTCCACCACGACAAACCGCATACCCTCCATGTTCGGCAAGTTTGGCAGGTCTGCAGCGTCGCCCTGAGTGCTCCCGATGCCGGACCCCCCCGTCATGCGGAGGAAGCGGTTAGTCTGCGAGGCGTGCAATGCAACTACGGCGCCTTTCTGCTTGACGAGTTCCCAGTCCTCCGAAGCGGCTTGTGATTGACCACTTGACGTTACGAACCAAGCCCACCACAGCAGCAAAACGCGCATGGCCATGGCCACGACGGCTTCTACGGTATGGGAACACGCTTCGTACTTGTTGTTGAAGGCATGCGCAGATTTCAGTTCGAGGCTCTCGGAAGCCTTCTTCAAAACCGTAGAAAACTGCGGAGATTCGCTCTCGGTCTCGGATTTAGGGTTTAAGGTTTAGGGTTAAAGGGGACAGAGGGCTCAAGAGGTTCCAGGTGCACATCGCAGTGGACTGGATTCTAGCCCAGTCTTTTCAACACAGGCTTCCCTCACCTTTGAAGGAACCTTTGGCCGTTCCCTCGCCAGCTCCTCGGCGAGCAGCCTGTGACCACTGCAGAGGTGGACTGATGGTTGTGGAGCTAAGGCAAAACTCAAGATCTACAGTGCTTACTAGAACGGTTGATAAACGGGCTATGGTTGCTCAAGGGTTTCGGGCTAGTTTGGGAAGGGTTTAGGGTTGAGGGTCTAGGGTTTTGTGGATTTTTTTGGGGGGGTTTAGGGTTTGCGGATTTGGGGGTTTCGGATTCGCCCACTGCATCCCCAAACAACGTAACTGGTTGCTGCAGGAATGGCGTGGAAGCTATGGAAGCTGATGGTAATTATAACAATACTAACAACAGTAACATGAATGATGACAATAGTCATCACAATAATAGAAAAACAATAATAGGATAACAACAATAGAACAACAAATAGAACAACAATTACAGAAAAACAATAATAATAACAACAATAATAATAACAAGTTGAAGAGCCCTAAACCCTGAGGGCTGCTCCGGGGATAAGCGGAGTCTTGACACTGCGCTCCATCGGGTACATAAGGCTTAGGGTTCCGGGTTTAGGGTTTAGGGCTTGAGGGTTTAAGGCTTTAGAGCTTTAGGGCTTTAGGGCTTTAGGGTTTTAGGGTTTAGTGCTTAGGGCTTTGGGCATGGATAGCTTAGGTTTTCGAGCCTCAGACCTGCAAATTCTACATGGCCCTCTGGTGGCGGCTGCTTGCTTGCTTGGTAAAACCTCTGACTTTCAATGGCCCGCCGTGATCACCAGCACTTGGTTGAAACAAGGATTGTTATACACGTTTTGGATAGGAATTTGTCAGTCAAAGGAATCATGCCTCCTTTTTCGCGGTTCGCGCATCAACTGAGCTACAATCAGCAACTAACGCGCCGTTGCCGAACGTTTCAGGAATCGTGAGCTGTCGTTCCGCTTAAAGCATGAGCTCGGACTTGACAAAACATGCTCAAGCATGTCTTTACAATTTATCAGACTCTGCGCTTCCTCCCCTGACTAACCTTTACATTGCTTCAAACAGAACTTTGACGACACCGAGTAACCATGAAAGTATCTGACAGTGGCAATAAGAAGCACGCAGACTCATCAGTGTACCCAAGGCCACAACCACTAAGAAGTAGTAAAAGTAGTAGTAGTAGCAGCAGCAGTCGTCGTCGTCGTCGTCGTCGTCGTAGTCGTGGTGGTGGTAGTAGTAGAAGTAGTAGCAGCAGCAGAAGTAGCAGTAGCAGTAGCAGTAGCAGTAACAGTAGCAGTAGCAGTAGCAGTAGAAGTAGTCGTCGTCGTCGTCGTAATAGTAGTACTTGCAGTACTAGTTGTTGCTGCTGCAGGCATCCTTATGAAGACGAGAATCACGACCCTGAACCCTCAACCGCGCCGTGGTGGTACTTGACGGCTATCCACCGCCCACCTCCGCACCGTAAAGGGCAATTCCTCTGCGAAGGCACCCAACTGCTCTCTGGTCCTCCAAGCAAACAAGAGTCGTCAGTCTAGGGTTAAAGGTGTGCATGGTATTTAGGGTTACGGTCTAGGGTTATAGGGTTTAGGGTTTAGGGTTTAGGGTTTAGGGTTTAGGGTTTATGGTATTTAGGGTTACGGTCTAGGGTTATAGGCATTGGTTTAGGGTCTAGGGTTTAGGGTCGGGGGTTTACGGGCTCATGGTTCAGAGGTCTGGGGGGTTAGGAACCCCGAACACATTCCCGCGCGGTCAAGGCTATGACTATGAGGCCTTGTTACTTCGGACTGTTCTTCAGAGACGGGGTTTCCTCCATATTCCACGCACCCTCAAGTAGAAGCAGGGCTGACATAATCTTCGTGGTATTAGGTGAGGGACGACGGAAAGTTGTACAGATACCATATAATACATAATGGAATATACATATGTACATATACATATGAACAACTGTATAATATATAATAGAAATATAATGTATAAATAGTGTTCAAGGAAGTCATCCATGGTTGAGCGCTGGAGGAGGAACTCATCGGGGTTAGTAGAAGGGTTCCTCCTTTGATTTCCCTGCTAAGCACCAGCAAGCCTCGATGGCACTACAGGGCTCCGGTCTTGCATTCAGACTTCAGGCCTTGGGGTTTAGGGTTCAGGGCTTAGGGTTTAGGGTTTAGGCAGCTCACTTCCAGGCAATTTGCTGCCTCTTGGTCTTGCATTTGAGGGCTGCTGCATCAGGAAAATAGCGATGCGATAGGTACTGCATACCCTGAGATCTACCAAAACGGATTTGACAACAGTCACCCCAGCCCTCGACACAAAATCAGGCCCCAGGGAATTCTAAACCCTCAACCCTAAACCCCAAAACTCTCAAACCCTAACCCCTAAATCCTAAACCCTGTAAACCCTAAACCCCAAAAGTCTCAAACCCTAAACCCCTAAACCCTAAACCCTATAAACCCCAAAACCCTAAACCCTATAAACCCTCTAAACCCTAAACCCCCAAGAGTCTCAAAGGCGTAGGCAGGTCGCCAGAAAATTTCGAAGGCCCGGGTCTCTTTGGGTTCGACGAGGCCCGAAGCCCTCGGAATCCGATGAAAACCCTAGGAGCTCAGGGTTCCGTATTCTGATTTCCTCAGAAAAAATAACAGAAGACAATAGAATAGAATAGAATAGAATAGAATAGAATGAGTATAGAGTAGAGTAGAGTAGAATAGAATAGAGTAGAGTATATTATAATGTAATCGCATATAACAAAGTAGAGCAAGAACATAAGCCCTTAAGCATTTAGGGCTCCTTCTTATGACTTTCTTGCATACGGCCTTCAAATGGACGCTTGTTTGGTGTTAAGGGTACATCCTGAATCCTGAACCCGGCCTGACGGCCAGCGTCTCCAAACGGGCCAGGGCAGTGTCCACCCAATCCCGACCTTTCTCTCACATGACTCAAAACCAGTCCTTGGAGCAAGTCTAAAACCAAAGGCGAACCCTAAACCCTAAACCCTAAACCCTAAAACCCTAAACCCCTAAACCGCTTTGTTACTGTTAGGAACTTGGAAGATGAGGCTGACTGAAACATGGATGCTTTGCGGGTTTAGTGTCAGCGTCCGTGTACTTCTCTAAAACAGAGCCTTCTTGTGATCCCCCAAGCATGGTGCCGCTCTTCCCATCAGAAAGCCCAGATGGGACACCAATTTAGAGAACCCTCGCGTCTGTGTTCCGGTTGCTTTTGGACGTACCAGCAACGCACATCTCGGGACATTTCATGACCTGTCTTAAGCTCCAATCTCTCTCCTTGCAGAACCAACAATGCTAACTGATGCAATCATCATTGCTGCAGATGAGCATATTAACACTCGAAACTTAAAGAAATTGCTCTAGTTTACATTTGTACGTCAAACCGGCCCGGCAATTCCGGCTGTTAGTTTTGCTAGCATCCTGCACCTGCATCCGCTGCGACTCCGCTACGTCAATCTTGTCTTTACCTTATAGTGAACCCCAGAAAGTTGAAACATGGATTTAGGATGATTAGTGCGGGGATTCCCTATACTTTACCCTAAGGGCATGAGGATGATGATGCTCCAACTTTTTGGCTTCTACTGTAACCCCAACCCGAACCAAGCCCGCTAAGCAGCGGAAGTTTCCTGGGATTCTGCGAT